TCCACTTTTTTTTTATTTTATCCACTAGGATCTTTTTAAAATATCAAGAAGTTGATCACAAATAGTGAGCATTTCAACCCACCATAATTCTTCTGCAAAGACAAAATTTTGTAAAAAGCTCTGATAGCACCCTTGGCAATTATACACAAAAGGTAACGGCGAACTGGGTACACTTCACGGGTTATGAAATTCAAATGAAAATGCAGGTATAAAATCTATCAAATGATCGTTCTCAAAAACATATTTCCTTGACATATCGATAATTTTAAAGTTCCACGGTAAATTCCCCTGTACTTGACTGGAGTGATATCCGAATTTATTCTTCCCTACTGTCGGTAGTTGCAGATCTGTTGGCTGTTGATGTCAAACCTATAGAACAGGTACCGATTTTTTGAAATCGTGAGCACATTATTCGTAGAATTTTCGATACTTAAATTTCCTGTAATCACTGGGATCAGAAACTACTTAGTAATAAAACGTGTTTCACTGATTTCATCCCCCCCTTTTTAAGCAGCACAATTTTTTATGTCAATGATTAGGAACCCCTGAAACGTCAAAAACGGAGTTTCAGCAATTGTTACTTTTGCTTTTTTGCCTATAGCACCGTTGCCACTGGACTAAAACTACAAAGATTTGGCATACTAGTAACCGCATGTGGAAATTTCATAAAAATCCGAGCGGTAATTTCCAAGTTGATGATGAGTTATACAGTTTTTCATGATGTAGATGTCATATGACTTAAAAAAACATAACATCTCATTTTCGAAATTTTTCGCGATTACAATACTTCCTCGCCAATGACGTGGGAAGTAAAAAGGCTTTAAAATCGAGGAGTATCAGCGATCGCGATTATGAGTACCTATTTGCAGAACGACTTATCTACGCGATATTATATGAAATAGGGCCACCAAATTATCTGAATACGTCCTTTCTTAGTCCGTACATTGCGCCGCAACGCTTGGTTTGGCAGCACGAAACAGTAGACAAAATTCGTCCAAAATACGATTTGTAGAGGTTTGCGCGCTTCGAAACTGACGGTTTATTTTTTGATATTTTTGGATGAAATTTTCACAAAGTGCTGAAAAGAAAACCCCACAGGGTGCTATAGAGCCACTTTTTCATTTTTTTCACTAGGTTCTTTTTAAAATAATCCCGAAGTTGAACAGAAAAAGTGCGCACTTCAACCCATCATAAAACTTGTGCAAAAACAAAATTTCAAATAGCACCCTGGGCTTCTCAACATACTGTATGAATTTCATTCAAAAATATTGATAAATGGAGTGTCAGTTTTGAAGCAGCTGAACCCTTGTAAATGGCTTGAAACTCACTGCGTCGGAGCCGCCTTAAGGGGTGGAATTTTTAAAACTTCTGTGTAAATGTATCAAAGAACCGGCATATGAATGCCATATCTGTATACTGAACTTTAAAGAATAAAGTTTCCCCATAGAGTAGCTTTTATCCCTTATTTCTACCCGTTGAAGTCTAAATTTCACAACAAAAGGTAGCCCATGCATATCTCCAAGGACTCACCTGTATATATGGTAAAATTCGTCAAAATCAGTTTTGCCGTTTTGGCGTGAAAACAGAACATACATACAAACATATACTTTCTTACATATCGATTAATCTTAGAATTCCCCGGTTGTCCCAGCTAAGTGAATTTGAGAGGCGTCGAATTGTCGGGTTGCATGATGCCGGTATACCGATAAGAGCAGTTTTTAGAAGGACCAAGAGATCCTTACACAGTATACTGCAGTGTGAACGAGCGTGGACTCAAAAAGGCCGAGGACAGCGAACGAGGGGTTCTGGACGTCCCAGAGGGACTACAGAGCGACAGAACCGCCGGTTAAGACTTCGGGCTCTGAGATACAGATTCAGTAGTACTCGAGCCTTCGCTAATCAGTGGTTTGTAGTGCATGGAGGGATGGTTGGTATGCGTACGGTATATCGCCGAATACGCCAGTTTGGCCTTTTTTCTTATCGCCCACATTGGGTGCCACCTTTCACAGCTGAACATCAGCGTAACCGTTTGCTTTGGTGTAGAGAAAGAATTCTATGAGACCAGGAATGGAATCAGGTGGTCTTTAGTGACGAATCCCGCTTGTCTGGGGATGCACGATGGTCGAGCAAGAGTGAGAAGGCGCCATGGTGAACGACGTGACCCACAATTTGTCAGAGAGCGTCATGTTCACCACACCGTGGGAGTTATGGTATGGGATGCTATTGCTTAGCACCACTAATTTTCATCAGAGGCAATATGACAGTCCGACGCTATATTGGGGAAGTAGTGGAGCCTCATCTTATTCCATACCTAAACACCATCCAAAACCCGATTTTTTAGCAAGACAATGCCAGACCGCATGTTGCCAGAGCATCGTTAGCCTTCATGGATCAACATCGCATCAACCATTCACCTTGGTTACTACGATCGCCTGTACCTATCTCCAATTGTACGTGTCTGGGATATGATAGGTCGCAGGATCTTGAACTTGCAACACCATCCACAGACTTTAGCAGCTCTTACTCACGAAGTTGCAGTAGCCTGTAATGAGATACCCCAACAGAATATAGTTATATAGCGAGAGCCCCTCGTATATCTTCCTAATCGGTGTACTTATATCTTATCTTAGTAAACAACCCTATGTTATATATTGATGGTTGTGCCCTTCAGGCACCAGTTTAATCCTATTACTCTTCAATTGAACTCACTTAGGTTAGGTTTGCTAACATATCGTTGTTAGTCGAAACATTGTATTTATATTAGAATAAAGTATCAAATCGCTTGTAAGTCGTTTTTTAAAAACGCGATTCCGCGACGTGATACCATCATTGGCGCAGCTAGCAGTTGGATCAGAAGACTGGACCAGAACTCAGCAGAGGACTTCCAGGCTGATTTCAATCACTCACTTCTGCAACCGACGAGACCAGGAAGATCAGGAGAAGCCCAAGGACGAAGATCGACGCCAGAGTTCTGTGTCTTCAAAGTCTGAAGGTAATTCAAGTCGAATTTTCCTTGTCTCTCCTCTCACCTTTTTTTTTAATTTAAGATTTGTGGTGCAGTTTTGTAAAATTGTATTTTGCTGAAGATTGCTTAAAACATCTAGTATTAAATTAGTTCTCCTTCAAGAGCTACATTTTTGAAGAGAACTTGATTTTAGTAAATTTATCGAGAGCTACATTTTCGATTTAGATTAGTTACTATTTTTTAAAATTTTTGCCGGTTGCAAAATTATTAATTTTAAGGGAACAAGATAATGTATTATCACTCAGCCTCACTATAGATAAAATTATTTTGGAATTACAAGCTTTATATAAAATAACTAGCAATTTACAAACAGCCTTATGGTTTGCAAGAATACATATTTTACATTCTGCAATTTTAGACACAAATAGTATTTCCTCAATTTTAAATTATTTATCCAAAGATTATAGTAGCGAAAGAATTCCGAAATTTGATCACGTAATTGACTATTATTCTTTACTTACAACCGATGTAACTATTTTCGATAATATCATTTTATTTAAAATTTATGCACCATTAATCTCGAACCACTTTCATTATTTTAGTGTTTTTCCTGTTTTTCAATTTAATTATACCCTAATCCCAATACGTTCTTTTCGACTTGAAAAACCACTGGAACACATACCACCTTTGCACAGAAGTCGCAAATAAATATTTCTGTAAACACGAAGACTTATTAGAATCAGATCCATGCCTTGTAGAAATTATCAAAAATGAAATAAATACTTGTCCCATAACAAGAATACAGCAATCAAGAACTCTGGTACAGCAGATATCTTCATCTAAAGTAATCATAAGTCCAAGAGAGCCCACTACAGTGCATTCGTCATGTCCAGAAGACGGCCTGATAGTTATTTCTCAACCAAGTCTCATAGAACTCCAGCGATGCAGCTTTGAAATCAATCAACACAAGTTCTATGCCTCAGATCGCATCGACCATGAAACAATTTTCCCGTTACCAGGTATAAGCCTGCCCAATTTCACGAAGCAGAACGTTGTTGATGTAACAAAATTCAACTTAAAGACAATCCAGAATCTTCAAATATCCCAAGAACAAGTCAACGAAGTTCCCAGATCGTCCCATAGAAAAGACAAATCTAATCATATTTTTACTTCTTCTATCAACTTTCATTGGCTACATCATTTACCAAATTTTAAAGAAGCTAGGAGAAGCAAGAAGACGTAGAGAAGAAGAAGCAGTTCCGGATTCGCAAACTTTGGATCCCCGTTTGCTCATCTTCGGCAGGGAGGAGTATATAGCGAGAGCCCCTTGTATATCTTCCTAATCGGTGTACTTATATCTTATCTTAGTAAACAACCCTATGTTATATATTGATGGTTGTGCCCTTCAGGCATCAGTTTAATCCTATTACTCTTCAATTGAACTCACTTAGGTTAGGTTTGCTAACATATCGTTGATAGTCGAAACATTGTATTTATATTAGATTAAAGTATCAAATCGCTTGTAAGTCGTTTTTTAAAAACGCGATTTCGCGATGCGAAACCATCATTATATCGACCACCTTATCAGCACGATGCCCAGGCGTGTCAATGAGTGTATAAGAAATCGTGGATCCTCAACACATTATTGAACCAGCTTCTGCAGTCAGTTGACGAATCAAGCTGAAAATTTAATCATTTTACTAGTAATGGACACCGAACATTATGCCAAAAAATATTAAAATCGGATAAACATACGTAGGTGTTTACCTTTTTTTGTCACTCAGTATACATACACAAGTTCACATTTATGATATTAGTAGGGATTAATACAACAATTTCTTTGATTTAATATGAGGATCACAGGCCCTTCTCACACTGATAGTATAACTTTTCGTTAGTTTGGGAGATATTTTGAAAAAAGTGAAATAAGCTATATTCATTACTAAAACACGTTCTGACTGGCCGAGTTTTATCCACGGATCAAATGTTGATCCCCGGATAGTCAGTTGTTATATCGGGCTTTATGTATACTTACTTGAATTTGTTGCATAAAAAGCTTATGTATAATAGTATGATCGTAGACAGTAGAGCACATGCGCTGAAGTTGATTCCAGCTGAGTTGATCTGAATCCAATTCTTATCGGGATTGTGGAGATAGAAACCAGTCTTAATCATCCAAGGAATTCCTAGGCAGAGCAATATGTCGAAGGTGTTCGAAGCTATTGAACTGCTGAGCCCCATAGTTCCATGACCTAAAAGTACAATGTTACATACGATTTATTGAGGCAAATCAACAATTGGCACTTATCTTCCTCGCTATTTGTTCTAGTTGATTCATACAATCAGATCAAAGATAATAAGTGAAAATATATTTGAATCCAATTCAAAAGCTTTATAGTTACTCTGTATATCTAACCAATCTTACATTTTTCAATCCAGCGACTTAAAAACACGTACTGATATTTTCTGAGTTTGCACTGAAAACTCATTACGCCTCTGGTACATAAAGATCGTGAACTGATGTGAAACCCTGCCGTCGGCTTCTTGTTAAACTCCATTCATCATTTCCGATTTTCAATACATTTCTGTGCTTGCGCACAAAACTGAACAGGATAGAGCCATTTTTTTGCACATTACACTTAGGTCCCCACTTATTGTAGTAATTTATTAGTACGCGTGCGTTCCATTCCATGATTGGATCGAAATCAAATGTCGACGTTGAGGTGAGGCTGTGAGTAATTGATGCGTGCATTGTTTGTATTTTGGATTATGGAACTGTGCAACTTCTACCAAGGATAAGCCGGACAGGCTTGAGAATTCACTCGAGGTCTGCCTGATGAAAGCCAAAAAAGGCTTGGAGGGAAGTTTCCGCGTTATCTCCCTTTGGAAAATGTTCGGCAAGGAAATAGAAAATGCTAGTGAAGCTAGAGGCACAACCAACCACAGACCTACCTGCCTATTTAACCCTTCAGCAGCCAAGGCATCAACGGAGAGAACAACAAAATATCTTGCAACCCCCACTACTGGAGGTGGAATTTCTCCAGCCTGAGCACCCCCCTTCCCCTCCATTCGTAATGGAGGTTTTAAAAAGCCACACGAGCAGGGCAGAACTGATGATATTTACGACCATCGGATGCACGCACAAATACTCGTACAATGAGATCGCTTCCGCCATAATATCTGGCACAAATAAATTAATATTACTGTTTTTCGGAGAGCCCAATGGCGAAGAAGCAGACGGTCATCATGCGGTTGACTTCGAGCACGTATGTGTTGTATTTTTTTTATAAATAACATGAATCCGTAATGTTAAGTATGTTCGAAATAAATCTTGGTTGATTGACATAAAGCTCGAGAGCCATCGGCAAAATAGGAAGAGCAGAAATAATTAATAGCTCCAATATTGATTGAAGACTTAACTTACCTAATTTAGTTACAATAACACTAGAGACAGCCTCTGGAACACTGGTACCTGCCGCCAAGAACGTTAGCCCCATCACAGAATCAGGAATATTCAACGTATCCCCTATAATGTAAAGCGAAAATTAAAAAGTGGTTGTAATCTGAGCTACTTCATGACTGTTTTACTTCCTACGCCACTAAGCGAGAAAGTATTGTAGTCGCAAAAAAATTCTAAAATGAGGCGTTCTGTTTTTTGGATGTATATCACAAACCATGTCAATATTTTCCATCGGTCTGTCTGTCTGTCCGCTAATCATTGACCCCTCTGTAACTTGAGAACTACCGTTCAGATTTTGATGAATTCACACAAGATTACTACTATGCTAAGGACGAAAAGGCGTTGAATCTTTTTAAAATCGGTTCAGTGACAGCATTAAAAAAGGTCAAAAACTAAAAAAATAGAAACTGCTCAAAGGTGGTTTTTTGAAATTTCAGACAATCCAGATCATTTCTGAAAAAATGATTAGAGGTGAAAAATTAGTGGAAACATTATACGGGGGTGAGGAAGGGTATATCTCAATTTTTTGATAATCCTATGCATCAATTAGCCATATTTCACACATCATAGGTTTCCCGGCACGTGATATTATGCCGATTTTTTTTGTTGATCGTATGCTGTTTTTTTTTTTTGACGTTATGTAGGTTTTTCTAGAAGATATTAACTTAGCACTTAGTTGTACGTGTTGCCTAAACGTCATGAGGCTTGTTATCAATCTTTGGCTCTGATGTGATGTAAAATCTGCTTCTGAGATGGCATTACTGGAGGTCTAAGCTGTAAGTTGTATGTGTTGATGATAGTTACATTGGGTTCTTGTCTCAAATACACTTAATTGAGATTCAAAGCTAGAAATTAGCTGCGCATTCACTTTTTCTTATCCATTCTGGAAATAACATATACAAATTTGCTGAATTTCAAAAATGAGAGAGATAAGAAATAATTATATTCACTGTACACTGCCGAATTGCCAACTATATGCAGGCTAACAGTAATTACACACAACGCGGGCGCGGTGATGATTTCTCGTAATTCTCTTCAGTTTTTCGTAATTTATAACTTTGAACATAACCTCTCTTCAGAAAGCACAACATATAAATAACCCGTCATATTGGGCATATTCAGTAATGATTTTCTCACACAGCAAATATCACTGATTTTATACACATGCAGACCAATACACATAATCATCCAGATGCGATCTTGCTATTCAACCAACTTTCTTCTCAGAGATAAAAACTATAGATCCGGATCACTCAGCCTCACAAAACTATATGTAATGCGTATTTTAGTTGAGTGATTCCACCATAGATGGACGTTCACAACGATCCTAGTGAGCAAACGTGGAATGACTGTTTGCGCCCTACCTAGTCTGCAAGTACACATCTTATAGTTTTTGTTTTTTTTTTTGGCGTTTTATAGGTTTTTTACATGATACATGTGCCGTGCATTTTTTTGAGAGCTTAGAATATAGACTAATGTTTTGTCTATTTGATTATTCTGCTCGAACTACGGTGGTGTTTCAGTAGGCGCTGCCGCGACTGTCGATATGGAAAGGGGCAAAGCTGGCAGATGGACAGCAACTACCGGTAGTTTAAGGAAATGATGTCATGGACTAATTGTATGTACCTGTTTGACTGACTTGATCCATTTAATTTCCCTATTTACATCTTTGTAAGAAATCTCAGAAGGTATAACTTGTGCTGAACTTAATCCTTATGAACTGATGACGGCGTTGCATAGAAAGTACAGAGTCAACCTACTTGACGGCATTTTTTCTTTGATGGGATATTTAAAAAGTTTTTGCTTTGAAGGTATAGAGTGCATAAACCTTCTTGACTAATATTCCTACAGGATCCTTAATTTACTATAAACGAACAAAGGATGTCGTGGGCTTGACGAAACCAAACGAAACCCCGATATGAAATGACTCCGGTGTTGTTGAAAGATCCATGCAGACACTAGATTAAGCTTTATTTCAGATGTTTTCTTCCTGTATCACCAGAATAAGGTGGTTTTTCAAAAACAATCAAAAAGTATCTTATGAATAAGTCATTCTCAGGAAGTGAATCTCACCTATGATAGTAATCAGCCAGGCTACTGTATATGAAGTGGTTCCGATCCAGAAGATGCACATGATAAATGTTACAACATAAAGTCTGGGATATTTTCTGCAATCAGGAGTAGTTACGTACAAAATAAAAGATATGGGCCATGTGAGAACCCACCAGACTTGTCCCTTGGCACATTCGTCCTTCGGCCATTTCCATATCTCTGTTGATTCCTCTGCAAAGCATTGAAAATTATAGATATGTGAAATTTCAAACAAACTTAATGGGTGGTTCATTCAAAGGTACTTTTTGCAAAAGCATAACAAAAAGAAACAATCAATGTCGTGCTGCCACTGAATAAAAGAAGCATCTATTTTTTTAAATAATAGCCTTCCGTGCGAGTGACTTGGTCCATTTCGAAATTCGAATTTTCAAACACGCCAATTCCTCATTCCTACTCTCTCACCTGTGTAGACGTAACCCCAATTTATCTGTCGGAAACGAAAAATTAGATCGCAGAAGAGCCATAGGTTCACAGGCTATGCTGAAAGTAGCGCCACACTATCTTGTTGAATCCATATGTTCTGAAGTTCATGAGCTTGAATTTCATGCACCAAACAGTGCGTTATAAACGCCTCATTGAAATTTGGAATTCCGGAATGGACCATGTTGATCGGAGTAACAATACGACTCGGATCGGATGAAATTTTCTCACAAGGTTACTACTATGCCAAGGACGAAAAAGCTTTGTGGGTTTTGAAAATTGATGCAGTAATGACGTAATTACGGGCAAAAAACATAAGAAAGACAATATTGCTCAAATTTCATTTTTTTTTGACATTTCAGAGACTCCTGCTCATTTTCATACATTTGTCAAAAGGGTTGAAAAATGAAAGTTGTAGAGAGGGAAAGTGGATGGTTGTAAATCTTGCATTTTTGATATCGGTTAAAGGCATTTTCTGATTGAAGAAGTGTCTGATCCCCGTAATAATACGCATCCGTCAAACATAATAATTACACATATTTTTCATAAATTTGCCTATGAAATAAAAATATTCAATTATTGTTACACTTCCAACTTTGCCAATTTTGGCACTCCAGAATTCCAATGAAATGAGGCTTCCATATACAAACACGCTCGTTCCTGCAGTCTGAGTATTTTTTTTTCATAAAAAGTCAAAATAGTATAGGTTCTGATAAAACCTACGTCTTTGTGATCATCTCTTTGCACTACATAGAAATTATACTAGAAGTTGTTTTTAAGGCGTGATAAGTATAGAGTCAATCTACTTGACGGTTTTTTTATTTGGTTACGCTTTTGAAAAAAGTACCTTTGAATGAAACAATAGTTACACGCATGTTCAAAGCAATATCTTCTTGAATTGAAATATCTGGGTGTTTTACAAATTAGATTTATTCATACAGGCATGCAAAGCCCTAAGCAGTTATTCAATATAAATATCACTCTATTCTTAAAAAAAAATATAACTCGTATTTCACATTTAACATATTTATAACCTACCTAGATCTTCACAATCCTTCAGGGTCATCTCGCAATCCAAAATTTTATGCATTGCATTATATTCGCTGCTCTGCATAAACTTCTCATCCTCTTTGATGAGGAGGGGATGAGTCTCACCAAGAACTTCCACATAGTAATTTCTTCTGCGCATTTTTGCCACAGCTTTATGTGCTGCTCTGTTCAGAGGCCCATTGAAACACATAACTGGAAATTTAATGTGGTCAAAATATATTACTTATAGGGTACACGTTAAATGGCTAGTACTATACTTAGTGACCCTTAGAACACCAAGTTAATAATGAACTTATTACAAAGATTTTTTAGGTATATGTTTGTTTAGGTTAAGACAAAAAACGATCAACCATATCGACAAAGTTTGATTATTCTTTATTACTTACCTAACCCTAAGAGACAGCTATAGAAAAAATATTTGTAGTAAGTTCGTTATTACTAATTGTCCTTTTTTGTCTCACTTAGTAAAATAATTCCTTGTGTGTTCAACATTCCTTGTAGTTTTGTCAAGTTCTAAATTCGCAGGCAGTAGCAGTGACATACATCGTACACCAATGAACTAGATCTAGATAATATCTGCTGAATTAGTCTGCTCAGATTTCACTGCGTCTACATAAACAGCGACAGCTCCTCTTCGCCAGAAAGGAGGTGCTAAGCAGGGAGAACTATAGTCTTTTTCATGAGTATCCATTACGAATAACAACTGAAAATCTATTTATATTTCAAAATTATCCATATCGACAAATGACACACAATTCTGACGGATCCGTAGACAGAGCCGCATTTTGATGTAGTTTTTTGTACACCACCGATTCATTTTGTACTTGCTAACAACTTTTTTATTTGGAAGAGCTTCCTTCTCATACGAAAAATGAATTCGGCTCTGCGTTTTATCACATTTACACCCAATTCATTATTGGCAACGTTACGGATTAATACAAGGATGTCACTTGCTGATCAGCTGTTCACTTCCGTAGACGTCAAAATGTAATAGATACTCGTGAAATAGGGTGTAAATCGACCGCCGCGCACTCAGTGCATTAAAAGAGCAACATCGTCGGCTTGAGAGTGGAATGAATCCGTGGTTTGGATAGTGGAATCCGTGTCATGTGAAGTCAACTGAGGTCTAACAAATATTCCGCTGTTATCGTTCGTCAGATCAAAAGATAGTTGTGGGTTTGAAATTAAAATGTTTCATAACCTCAAATCAACTGTCTATTATTCCCATTGGAATCGGTTTATTTTTATGTTGCATATAGGAGCCTACATACCAGGATAGACTACGGCAATGCGGTTCGTGCTGTAAAAACAACCCCGAAACTTGACGCCTGTGGTAGAATTTTTGCTTGGGGAATTTTTTGAAATATATGGGTCTGGAGGAAATCAGACGCTTCGCGAATAAAAAGCGTATCCCCGTTCTTTGAACCGAACTTACTCCTTTTCATTAAATGACTGTGATTTGGGGGAGATCCGCCATATGAACACTTTCCTAATAGTCTAAGATCAGCACCCTGAATCTGCCAAGTAACTCTGCTATAATCTTTTCTACTGTTGTTTATGATTCATTAAAAGTAAGTTCTATCAAAAGAACAGATACTCGAACTACAACCACAGCTTAGATAACAATCAGCTATGAAAGGGGTTTTAATGCTCAGCAGCAACCGAACCCTGCCTGCGGCCGCAGTTACTATATATAATAAATATTAATTATACTATTCCGATATGACCTGGTGTAGTTTGTGTAAACCAATAATAAAAAGAAGTTATTCATCCAAAAATAAGCGACGAAGTACTGATGATTACTCATTTATTAAAAAGTTTTAAAATATACTAAGTGACATATACATAAATCCAAACACCCAGTTTAAATGGTTTTATTTTAATAAAAGTTGGTGAATGTATTTATCTTACTGTAAATAATAAGAGAAAAAATTTTCAGCCTTATCAGTTGGACATTCCGGTTTTTATACTGTTTTTTTTAATTCACTAACGCTCTAAAAATGAATATTTCAGCCGCAGTAAAGAATCAACGTTGGCGGATTTTGGTTCTTGACATCCTTTACGATCGGTTACGATGCCTAGAGTACGGAGACCTGTACGATTTCGTCAACTTAGTGAGTTTGATAGGGGCCGTATAGTGGGACTTCGGGAAGCTGGACTTTCTTTTCGGGCAATTGCAGTTAGAGTGCAAAGAAGTGTAGAAACTGTGGTTAGGTGTTGTCAGGCATGGCTTCGAGAAGGCCGTACGCAAAGAGCAAGGGGCACTGGACGCCGCCGTAGAACAACAGACCATGAAGATCGCCGCCTAAGATTATTGGCCTTAAGGGACCGTTTCTCCACTACCAGGTCCATTGCAAACGAATGGTTTGCAGAACACGGAAGATCTATTGGCATGCGAAGTGTTTACCGACGAATGAGAAGTTTTGGCTTGTTTTCATACCGGCCACACTGGGTCCTCCCTTTAACTCGAGAACACCGGCGTAATCGCCTTGAGTGGTGCAGACAACGGTCACTCTGGGATCAGGAATGGAACAGTATTGTCTTTAGTGACGAGTCTCGATTTTGTTTAGGCATGCACGATGGTCGTGCCAGGGTTAGAAGGCGACGTGGTGAAAGGAGGAATCCACAGTTTTTTGTTGAAAGACATGTTCATCACACTGTTGGAGTTATGGTTTGGGGTGCTATAGCTTATGGTTCCAGGTCACCTTTAATCTTCATCAGAGGTAACATGAACGCGCAGCGTTATATCCACGAAGTTCTAGAACCCCATCTTTTACCCTATCTTGACACCCTGGCAGATCCAACTTTCCAACAAGATAATGCCCGACCACATGTTGCAAGAGTCACAATAGACTTCTTTCAACATAATGATGTCACATTGTTACCATGGCCACCAAGATCTCCCGACTTGTCCCCAATTGAGCACGTGTGGGATATGATGGGTAGGAGATTGCTCAATTTGCAACGTCCTTCTCAGACTCTAGAAGCACTTCGAGAGGAGTTGGTAGTTGCCTGGAATGAGATACCACAGGAGGACATTGACCACCTGATCAGAAGCATGCCTAGGCGCGTTGGAAAATGCGTAGCACATCAGGGTGCATCCACACATTATTAAAGGTCAAAGGGCTTTAAAGCAGTGCAATCATTTTGAAATTTTTATCATTTACTTATTATGCTTCATTAAGTACTTATACAAAATTTTATTAAAATAAAACCATTTAAACTGGGTGTTCGGATTTATATGTCACTTAGTATAAATTCGTATTGGTGGAAGTATTTACAATAAAAAAAATATTCACTTTTGCCATGCATTGTTTTCAGCTGGTATATTCTCAATCCATTCAATTTTCAATGTAAGCACTGTTAAAATACCGCAATCAAACCTGACACTTATGATGACTCCTCAGCTAGGATGCTTCTAAATAAACGGCGAGATGTGTAAGCGATCGGCAGTTCCGATATTTTAAATACCTAGAAAAGTTAGTTATAAAAATTGTAGGCAACTATACGCTCCTTAATTGGAAAAAAGGCCGCCCTTCACAAGGTGATTTATACTTACATGACAACACATACATTTTTTATATGACTTTGCTTAGAATGAGCGAATAATGAAAAAATATTCATGCGAAATGGTTTAGTTTTACTAATGAACAATGTTTTATTCCACGACAAAGACACCTAAATTCTTGTGAGGGTTATATTTGTCTGGTGTTCTTAGCTCTGCTTGCGTTGGAAATGCAATGGATTATATAGCAACAGCGTCGAATACATAGCAAAAATTAATAATTTTCCGTTTATTGTAATTACTTTCACCATGGCAAATTCATTTTGAAGCTTTTTTATAAATAAATAGTCATCCTCCACTTCTTTTTGGAGAAACATACTTTTTTTATTAATGATTCACACAAACTACACTAGATCATACCGAAATATCAGCATTTTACGATTGCAAAGAATATACCTAGGGCCGCTGGCATAATACGTGGCAACGTCGACTGCTGCTGAACTCTGAAACATCTTTCATCGCTGTACTAGGGGAGTTCACATGCGATTTTTTCTGCCGAAATGGCGTTTTTGACACTAACAAGAGAGTTTCATAGCTGATTGTTATCTAAGCAGTGACGTCAGATACCCCATGCGCATTGGCTGGATTTCGCTTCGATAACTGCGCCCTCTGTTAGGCGTCAAGATTTGGGGTTGTTTTTTCTCATTTCGCCGGTTCTCTGGATTGGTATGAAAAGCAACTTTTAGCTGACACCCTCCAGCTTAAACAAAAGCTATTATTATTATTATATGGGCTCCATAATTGCATATGTCAAGCACAAATATGCACCTGGTGGCACCGTCATCGTGCATCCAGAGAATAGGTCAATTGCGTGCGAAGCGTCAGGTCTTTCAATCTGAAACTTGACTCTAACAGCTCGTGAAGGCTGGTAAGACGCAGGGGAATGGTATCTAGGTGCTTCTTGAATATACAAATATATAAAATGTACATCACACGCAGTACTGGTTTCTCGTATTATGTATGCCTGTATTATACTTACGTAGAACGTATAGAGTGTAGACTAAAACTAAGACTAAAGCTTCATAGAAGTATATTCTTCCGTCATGTAAAGTAATTATAAGTAAAATCACAGAAAGCGCGTACATGGCACTGTCGCGGGTTAGAGGCCACCACTCCAAATCTAATACCTGAAAAACAGAAATGTTGCTTTAAATACGATCATACAGTTATCAAAAATGTCTCAGACAAACCAATTAAATTATTATAGAATCGTATGTGGTAGATGCTCCTACTTAGTGAAGGTCTTCCATCGTATTTGTACAACGTTTCACAGTAAGTTACTGATTCACAAATGAAAGACCTTCAAGTGCATCTCACACACTTTTTAGTAGTAAAAATCATAAGGGACAATAATTCTAACTTTTGAACGACTTAAAAAAATTTCAATCAAAGACGGAGTTAGTACCTGATACCCCATTCGTTTACTTTGGGTTGATCCCCTCATGTTTACCCCTTCCCCCTATAACCCAAAAGCATATGTAAGGACTATCTCAACAAATAAAACTTTTTAATAAAAAACACCACTCAAGTACAGCTACTGAGGAACCCATTTCTCTTGTCATTGAATCATGAATATAAGCTATTATCTTCTAATGCACTGTGCTTTATTCCTTCTCAGTTATTTTCTCATCTGTTTCTGTTAGGAGACTACAGTGTCACCTTGGTGTTGAAACTTCATGTAAATATTAACTTAATATATAAATGAAATATCATAATCAAATCATATGAAGAATTTCTTATGATTTGAATAAATTATTGGGTAGAATTAAACAGCTCATAAAAAGCGTTAAGTGAAACGATAAAACATGAAGTGAATATGATATAAATCAGACGAGAAGGCAAATGTTGCCGGAACATAACGATCATAAGACAATGAATGAATGACTAAATGAAGGAAAAAATCAAAATTTAGAATTAAATGAGATTGAAGAAATGTTAACGACCTTCATATATTTCACAAGATGATGGACACTTTTATCACAGTCTCTTTTGCTATCTTTTGGTCCAGGGAAAATTTAAATTCAAATGAAACATTATGTTCAAAAGAAAGTTACTATTTCCAACTTTTACTTTACTTTTGTAACGTCCAAATCTTTTTATCAGCCGCATATCGACAGCTGCTATTAAAACGAGACATATACAACTCATAAAAAGCTCCGACTGCATATGTTAGGTTTTTATTCTGAAATTTCTGCCATTTTATGAACAGAGCCGGACAGAGGTAGATACCTACTTTTCAGACGAAAGACTAAAACTAATCAAAGCTATTCCTCTAAGATAGTGAGGGCCGCCATGACACCCGAAAGACATAACCAAAGACTACCAGAATAATAATTCCCTCGTTGATTCTAAGTCAAATGTGTGTCACGAGGGATTCTCCTTTATAAGTACCACCGTGTGACTATGTAAAGCTTTTTGCGGACCACTCTCAAGTAATCGTCGATAGAGGTGGAACAAGGTAGTCAGAAATATACTAAGTGACTTAGAAAAAAGTACATCCAGTAATACCAATTTACTACTTGTGGTTGGATAAGTAATTGATCAAAATTTCAGAAAAATCCAACAGTTGAAAAATGTAAAAAATTGGAGGCGGTATGAAATAAGTCCAAAACTGTTGAACCGGTGATAAACAATTCGCATTGTAGCGCTTTCCATGGTCGAGATTGAGCTTTGTGGACAAGAAGCGGTCCCGTACAGTCAAAAGCCTAACGTCGCCTGGATCTCTAACTCATCGTGTACTGCGTCCTTGATGGCAAGCCTAACAACAAACTACCATCGTCTCTAGACTTCTTTGCACCCTGGCGGCTATTTCTTTAGAGTACTAACCAGCATCACACATGCCCAGTCGTTCCCTGTCAAACTCGCTAAGCTGTTGAAAATTTTCTCTTCTTCTCACTCGAGTCATAATGTACACATTAAAGCATCCCTTCACAACTTATCGTACGATGAGCTAAAAACCACAGCTATCGCTTACTTTTGTATGAACAGACTATATCACATTGTACCACTATATCGATATAGTTGAAAAGCTGACTGTTTTTCGTCCCAACCTAAATAAACATATACCTAGGAAATCCTTATAATAAATTCATTATTACTGGATGTTCTTTTTCACTGAAACGTCAAAAAACGGAATTAGGGTTATTCTTTGCCCGTAGATCCGCCGCCACTGGATAGATTTTCAAACGCTACATTTTTTTTTCCTTGACATAGTATAGACATTGTATCAAAATTTCATAGAAAATTGGTACCTTTCAAGCTACAATGTGGCAAAGGATTAGTGGACAGACAGATCGATGGAAATGAGTGATATGGGTTTTCGTGATGTAGCATCCAGAAAACAATACATACAGGCAAAAGTAGGAACAAATAAAAATCTTGAAAACATCCTTTTTAGCCAAATGAGCTAACTTGTATCGCACCTAGTTGCATGGGAAGTACAGAGTTAATCTACTTGATACCACTCAACAAATTATCTGATGCTTGTACACTGTCTGTGGCAATACATCGTAACAAACGAATAACTAATCACGTTGAGGACATCAATAGACAATATTGGAATTCAGCGAATTTTAATCCATTTTTTAATGCCAAGCTAGAACCACTGATTGTATGTTATGAAAACGTTAAACAGTAATAGAATTAATCAAGATTATATTGACCTTTCACTTGGGTATGCTACTTTATTGCAATATGACTAATATGTTTTCTGTTTCACAATTCATTTTTTGCGATAAAGGTAGTAGTTTGATAAATAACGATCTTCCGAATAACATGCACATAACAGTTGGTGCTATTTCTGTGAAGTTTATGAATTATATATATTTTCGAAGTGTTGTTTGATATTTTTGCACAATTTAATTGGGAATTTTTTGACTACTCAACATAGCAACATATATAGGGTGATTCAAATTGGGTTTACTCATTAAAAGTATTTAAAAAAATTATAAAAAAGTATGTATTTGTCCTTTCAGGGCAGTTCATTACAATTATGCTTGAAAGATGATATCAAGTAAATGTCCACCGCCGCTCATGTGAAATTTTCGACTACTCCGTGGCACAAATCAAGTCCTATGTTGGTAATTTCGCGTCTGATTTCCTGTTTCAGCTCCGCAATTGTGTTCGGGTTATTCTTGTAGACTTTGCTCTTGAAATACCCCAAACAAAATAATCTAAGGGAGTTAAATCACAGGATCGCGGCGGCCAATTGGTATCGCCGTTACGTGAAATAACGCGACCTGGAAACTTGCCGCGCAGTAATTGTATCGTTTCTCCTGATGTGTGACCTAGGCTTCAATTCCTGTGTTATTTGGACTCTGTATGGGTGTAACTTCAAATCTTTTGTTAAAATCTGCTGTATAGTGTAATAAGTAAGGTCCAGTTGCTGCAATCGATGACGAATCGAGGTTCTTGGATTTTCGGCTAAACTTTCGACAACAATAGCAATATTGTGTTCCGACCGACCTCTACGAGCTCGCCTAGGGGTTTTGGTGTTAGCGACGGATCCAGTTTGCTCGAATTTTTGCACCGAATTCCAAACTGTCCTCTCACAAGGCCGATTTTGTGCGCCAAAAAATTCACGTAAAGCACGAAATGTATTCTTCCTTGATCGGCCGTTTTCCTTATTGGCTTGGATAATTTTAACATGTTCGGTCGCATATTGCTTCATGACTGTTTTGTTTATCTTTTGACGTTAGAAATGGCACGTTGTCGTTGACAAATTCAGTGGCGTTTCAAAAAAAAATTATTTGTAATGTGGAAACTCAATTTGAATCACCCATTATATCCGTACCCACCAAAAACGTTCAAAGGTTTTATGAAAAAGTCGATCTTCAGTTAAAACCTGTCGCTCGTTACATGATAACGTTGTAAGTAAATAGTTTTTTGCTTTACCACATTTTACTTCCCACGCCTGCTATCGAGTAAGTATTGTAATCGCGAAAAATTTCTAAAATGAGATATTATGTTTTTTGGGTGTTATATATAGTACGACATGTTCATTACGAAAAATCATGTCACTCATTTCCGTCGGTCTGTCTGTACTTAATCGTTGGTCCATCTGTAACTTGGAAAGTACCGCTAGGATTTAGATGATTTTTTTCACATGAGATAACTACAATGCCAAAGACGAAAGACTTCTGTAGTTTCTGAAAATCGGTTCAGTGGTGGCGGCGTCAAGGGAAAATAACGAGAGAAATAAATATGGCTCTCACTTTTGTTATATAGTACATGTCTGTGACTAGCTCAGATGGACAACTTTTGCCGAACGTAATCGTTTATGACCGGTGGCAGCGTTGAATGGTAAATACTGAATTAACGCCATTGCTTTTGTTATCCTGTTTTAGACTTTTCTCCCGAACTTATTTTTGAACGGGTTAAGTAAGAAAGTAATGATTCATCATATTATGATCTCCCATTTACCTTAAAAGAATGTTCGAAGATGATACCCAGCCTCCAAGTTTTTCGTTGAAATATAACATTCATTCATCGACTTCACGCTGAATTTCAGTTTGCTAACTTAACCCGTACAAAAAACATTTGGCGGAGAGGCAAAAACTTTTTTATCTGCTACATATTTGGAAAATAAAACTCTAAAGCGGCTTGTTGCATATCAACCTGAAGACAAAATCGTAATTAAAAAGTAAAGTAATTAACCCGCTTGGCTTCATGTTTGATAACGATTAGAGATTCAAGGGAAATTATTGTTTTGCAGCTACTGAGCGGATGCCGAATTAAAAATGTCATATACAGGTGTAAGCTACAAAACAATATCTTAATTAAGAAATAATTATAATAATCGTCTTTACTACACAAAACATAAAAGATTTCAATGTTACAATAATGAACTAAAACATTAGTATATACAAATTGTATATAAGTAAAAGAATGGGGTGTACAAAAACATCTTAAATCAAAATCTAAGATATAAAAGGTATTTTGGTGAAGCAAGAGGTAAATTTGAGCAAATCGTGAAGAATATTTATCCAAAATATATTTTTTGATGTCTTTTAAATTTACCATATGTTTACAATCATAAGATTTGTGGAATTCCGTCATAACGACTTACTGTGTTGTATGTAAAGCAATTACATAAGAATGACGTCTTGTGAAGGGGCATTGTAAGAGT